TATTTGTACTCGACATTTTTATATCAAGTACCGGGACACCCTGTATATTTTTCGAAAATAGCTTACAATGAATGGAAATATTTTTACGCTATCTTAAAAGTTTTTCGAGATATTTATTACTGATTTAAAGAAATAAGGCTCAAATTAGGATTGAATTTAAAATACAACAGCAACTTTCTTGGGGTAAATATGTACAATTAAAATATTTTTATTTATTTATGTGGGGTATCGAATAAACTATATCAAGACCTTGAAACATGTTTTTATTCAGAACGGGATTGTGCTAGTTGAAAATATTACATAGAAGAAATGTAGAGAAATACCGGCAGCAATAGAGATAATTAATGAATAGAAGAAACACTGTATTAATTATAAAATAATTACTTTACTACTGTTTCATTACCAACCTTTATCGGAATGCTGAGAAAAAGCAAAAAAGAACCTTGACTCGGATTTAGCAAAGTTAAGTTTAAAATTGGGTACGCATTGAATTGCTGCGTTGCTCAAGACACCTAACAGGAATGTAAATTTTATGTTCTCAATCGGAACAAGCCATGTAAAAAAACTATTAACAAATATATTATAGGAATGGAGTCCGACGTCCAAAATTTACTTGTAAGACAAATATTTATGTAAAAAAACAATTACCCTAAAATATATTAGCCAAAAATATTTCTTCTTATTATATTTTTCTGATCTAGTAAAGGGATTTGTAGAATTAAGTTAGAATCGCATGTTAATAGTTCTGTTTTCCATTATGAATCATACTGCGTGTTGTTAAGTTATAAATAAATGATTCTAAACATTGAGTAGCTACAATGATTACGGTGTGCTTGTTTCATCTTTTATTTGCGTTCTAAAAATATTTTATGACCGTTTGCATGATGTGTAAGTTCTGTAGGAAACGATGTTTTGAAATAAAATAAGCCAAACGTGAACAAATATGCAAAACAGAATGTAGTTATGTTTTGTTTCGTACAATTCAAGAGGAAGAACTTGGAATAGGTACAAATCGCATATTTTATAAGTTAGAAATATGTACATATATGTATAAAGAACGAGCAGTCCAACAGGTTGCCGTTTCAAATACTGATTGTGAGCTAAACAACATTTCACAAAAAGCGGTTTCACTCGAATAGATTTAATTAATCAGCAGTAATGTATATTAACAATTTTTTCACTTCCAGGCATTTATTAAGGTGCATTTCTTTTACTACTACCAACAACCTCTTAAAAATAAATTTTCAAGTTCGCAGCACCGTGTATAGTGTTGTTTAATATAAACGGACCTTGTTCCTTCGTATTATATTTTAAATAAGTATGTAAACAAATTCCAAGCAGAGGACATGCGATATTCTCGTTGAAAGTTTATACACCTGCACAGTCAGGGCCATACCAGAAGTTGCCCTAGGCAAAACAAAACGGTTACTTTGCCTTTCTTCAAAGTGGAATTTGAGAAATATATTTAACCTCTGTATTTTTGGTCGAACCATAAAATTTAATAGTTAAGAATCATTAACAGTTACATTAAAAGACGAGCGGGAAAGTAAATCAACACTTGTGACAATAAAAAATTACTGGAAAATAAAAACCGTTCAATTTATCTGTAACGTTATGAAACGGAAGACGAGAAAGTTGCCAAAACGTGAATAACTGTAGTGATATAAGATGATGCTAACATAATTTTAGACTTCTGTTATGCAAGGATTAATGATTTTTTCACTTCTATTTCTATTTTTTCTCATTAGTGCAAAAAATACTCCGTTAATTTGTTAGGACGAAACTGACAGCTGTATTATTAAATCGTCTTCCAAATTGTCAAACTGACGACTATTCAATAATAATTCAACAAAATTTATTTACTGAAGAATGTATACAGTATGTCCGCGCTTAGGGTGAATAAGAGGAAAAAAAAGGCACACTTAATAAAAAGTTTTAGGACTTGAATTTAAAATGAGGTTGCCATGGTGAAATTTAACATTTCCTGTACGGGACGTTCAGAAAATAAAAAAACCTGAAAATGCCACGAGAGTAAACGACCTTTACTTTTAATACTTCTGAAAAGTGGTATTTTGCAAAAGTCGTGCAAAAAAGTTACTTGAGTTTTTAAATAAAATAATTCGCAAACGAAACTGGTTTAATTTTTTACAGAACATAATAAATTTGGAAAAAAATTTATGTATAATAAAATTATTCGAACACTCCTCCGCCAACATTCACACAAATTTGAAGGCCTGAAAGGAATTCATTGTAGTTGCCTCTAATCTCTTCTAAAGATAATATGGACTGTACAGCATCTATAATTCGTTGTTTTAGCTGCTTGATGTTATTGTGCTATACACAATCTGTTTGAACCGGCCCCACAAGTAAAAATCCTTGATTGTTAAGTGTGGACATTGCGTGAGCCATTGATATGGAGCATGCCCGTCAATCCAGCGATTGGGAAATGTGTTCTGTAACCAGGTCCTAACAGTCCTAACAGTGAATGCGCCGGATAACCGTCATGCTGAAAATAAAAACAATTTCGGTAGGCCAGTGGTAGAATAAATTGTCCAATTAATTAGTAAAAAACGTTTGGAGCATATTCAGGTAACTGTTTCCATTGCATGTATCTTCAAAGAAGTATGGTCCTATTCCATAAACATTTACTTTTTTGAAATATTACCCCAATATCGCAAATATTGTGAAGCAACAATGCCATTTATAGAAAAAGTATATTCGTCCGAAAACATAATCTGTTGGTTTCATACCTCCGATCCACAGACAAAAATCGAGACGTTTCGTTCATCGCCTTCCTCTAAAGTGTGGTTGTGAATTGGTTTGTATGCCATAATTTTATTTTGTTCTAAAATTTTTTGTATGTAGGTCTTTTTCACCATTCCTAAGTATTCTGAGCGTCTCTTCAGTGACATGGTTGGATATTTATCCACTGACTGTAGAACTAGCACAGTAGCGGCACCTTCATCATCATAATTTTTCTTTTGCCTAGGTGTTTTCGCAAATGACCCGGTTCTCAAAAATTTTTGAACTACTTACTTTATGTAAAGACGACTGCGCAACATGCACACCTGGGTATATTTCATTGAAATCCTGAATTACTTGGCGATAACTGTTATCACCCTTACCGTAGCACTGTATTATATATATTTTTTGTCGATCCCTGTTGCTCATTTTCCTATCTTTGCCTGTAAAAAGTTTAATTTTAACGCAAAAATCCTGTGATGGTCGGTAGGAAAAGAATATTTGTAATATATATTTTCGATCTTGCATAAATAAACTATTCTGTGGTATCATACATTTAAAAACGTACAATGAGAGAGAGCAAAGTAACATTTTCTTACACAATAGGAAGCGGAAGTGATTTGATCGGTAGTAAATGTTTATTAAGTGCGAACATTTTGCGCGACAAGGTCTTGAATATTTACGGTTTCATTTCCCAAGATTTATTATTTATTATGCGCTCAAACAGAAACAATATTCCGATTCCTCTGAGGTTTCTGTACCAAGTGAATATTCAAGATTTACTTTTAACGGAAATTTCCAACTTTCTTTTAAAATGTTGTTTTTCCATAATTGAACATCATGGAAGCTATAAAGAACAGAAAGAAATGTTAAGTTTTATGTATATTTTGAGGAATTTATCCAATAGAAAATTAAATGCAATAATGTTATGTAAAAAAAAATATTTTACTACCTGTGTTCAACATTCATATTTTAAATATTAGAAATTTTATTATCATCCTTGGTTTGATAAGTACCTATGTAGATTTAGTTTTATTACTTACATCTTGAATGTCAATATTCAGATTTTGTTGTCGAAGTTCACGAATTCGAAATATCGTTTTGATTTGAATATTTTGGATGTAGAAAATATTTCTATTCTTCTACAAATGTTGAAATGTTAGCGTTTTGTTAATTTGAATTGAATTTCTAATTTACTCTAACAAAAAACAACAAATTTAGTTTTTGCTGATAAATTAGTTAGAATTTGTTAACTTATAAAACATATGATAGTCTCTTTCTTCATAATGACCGAAATTATGGATTTGAAACAGTATTTTTAATCCACGAGTACAAAAATAAATTGAATAAGAAAATACATATGACGAGTTCTATTTTTTAACTACAAGGTGTCAAAATTAAAATAATGTTATTTTCTGGAATATATAACAATATATACAAGTGACGGAGATACAGAGAATCAGTACTACTAGTAGCATCAGAATTTCGACGATACTTAATAGTCTAGAAATTTAATTAGTACCTACTATTTATAATTAATATCATTTTAAAAAAATATATTTTTTCAGTTTTGATCGAAGAACGAGCCGCTTTAGAGTTCTAATTTTTTATTATCAAATCAGCTAGATATATCGAATGGGACCCTAAAACTATTCGGTTTATGAGACATCTTTTATAAATACAACGCATTGTGTCAAATTTTCAAAATGTATTGGCGTAGAATTTTTTTAATTTTCTAAGGATATATCAAAATTTCCTTGCAAAGAACGCAAGTTATTTTCGATTTACTTTGATCTTTTTTCTTAGAAACCTATTGGTAATGAATAGCCTAATCAAATTTGCGGAAATCTCGAGGCTTCCAGTGGTACTGACTCTTCTGGTTCAGATATTTGAATGAAAACTTAGCGAGATTTTGCTCCCTAATTAGATAAATTAGTGGCCCAAGTTTCGTCAGTCTACGTCAAACATCATCAGAGATATTTAGAAACTGTGATACTTTTTCCAATTTCAACACTGTATCTTAAATTAAATTAAACTAAACTAAATTCTCAATTTTTTCTTAAAAAATTTGCGATGGCTTGCCTTTGCCAGTGGAAAGCCTTGCTGAATTTTGCAACTACGTAAATGTTTTGAGAAGAAAAAAACACTTGAAGAATATATTATGAATAGGTAACCCTAAATTTGATTATAAAATCGTGTTCCAAAAAAATAAACCTAGACTAAAATTAAAAATTATAAATTTGTAAGTAACAACTCACAATATAAATCTCCCTCAATCTTTAAAATCCAATAGATAAAATGCCACTTATCCACAACTACCACTCATGTCTGCATCTGTTTTAAGAAATCGGTCAGAAACCACCGCACACACGAAGAACCAAAACGTCGACCATAGAGTTGCTACAATGTTTTACTTCGATGTGTGTCAATAGAAAACCGAGACTAAATCCGCTGGTATCGAAAGCAAACAACCGATGAGTAACCTGAGTGGTAGCGTACAATACTATGAGACTATCTTCGAATCTCACTGGTACGCCGGCCACCAGAGCTCAACGGTAAGTAACTCGCAGCTCGGTCTGGGGTACTGGGCACGGGAATGCTTTGGATTGTAAGAAATCATGGGCGGAGATTGCTATACGAGAATAAATAATATAATTTTTCAGGTTTAGTGGCAGTCGAGTGTTGCAGATAACAAAAGTGCAAGGCGACAAGTACAAAATTGTCAATCACTAGATCTTTACATTACTTTGTGTATGCAATAGTTATAAGTACTTATATACTTATATGCTTTGAACAACATAAATTTCAAAAATTTTGATTACATTATTGTAGTTACAATTCCAGATTCTAAAAATGGTAAGTCACGTACGTTTACAATTAGTTCTCGTCTGGGTTATGTTTCTCTCCTAGATATTCTCAAGAAATATATCAAGATTGGATTAGAAATTAAAACTGAATGTTTCACACTTTTTTATTCGCTGTCAAGCAGGTAGATGTTATAACCAACCAGTCGGCAAGAATACCCTTTCTGATTCCTAATAAGATTGCATAGTTTTTGAAACTAGAACATCCTGAAACATATACAGGCAATTCATTCCGAATAACATCGGCAACGTTACTGGCGAATACAGGAGTTGATGTATTAGCAATCAAGAGACATGGTGGGTGGAAATCAGCCACAATTGCAGAAAGTTATGTTGCTGACAGTTCAAGTAACAAAACTGAAATAGCCAACAACATTCGTTACAATGACACTTCAACTCCAGGTTGTAGTAGCACGTCGCATCATGCTGTTTTACTGAAATGGAGCGGTCAAATCATTTTGAGAAAAATATTTATAATTTAAAATAAAGTTGAATACTAAACTACAAAGTTAATGTATGCAATTTATAACCAAGTTTTCAATAGTTCTGTTAGAATATGTACAACAACTGTGTTATGTAAGTGGTATAGGTATGTTTAAAACTATTTTAAGTTTTGTATTCATTTCAAATTAATTAATCAAATGCATAACATTAACAGAAAATACAGCAGGTGCAAGATAAACCAAAAATGTGATCACGTCATTTAAACTTATGTAGTGTCAGAGTCAAGGTAAGGTCTTAATTTCTCTTATAAATGTGGGGGTCACGTGCAAGGTGAAAGAGAAAGAATGTTGAATGAATTACTTAAATAGTTGTAAGATGATTTTCGGGGAAGTGAGAATAATTTGAGTATCAACTACTATAAAAACATATGACATTTAATTAACTAATGGGAATGAATAAAAAGCTAAAACTCTGATGAAATATAGAAATATGTTCACAGATCACAGATATTTTGGGTACAGTTAATATGGCAGAATAGACTATAGGTCTGTTTTTACAGCAATTGAAGACTGATTTGAAACTATCTATTTGACCAATTGATTCGTGACTTTAGACTCTCTGAAAGTATGTGACTCTTACATAAATGATCGAGTATATCTGACAGTTTTAGAACAGTTTAAGCCTGAATTCACGCTCAACGGAAATATAAGAAAAATTTCGCACCGTATCAGTTAAATGACAAAATAAACAGTGAGATTGCCAGAAATAAGGTCATATTGGTTCCAAAAAATTTCGGTTTGTCCGATGAGTGTCATTCGTTCCATATTGCGAGCATCTAGCTTTATTTTTTACAGCATTATTCTTCAACATAATATTACATGCATGTAAATAAACATTAATGTTTTGCGAAGCAAAAAAAAACAGTTTTGTTTATAATTACATTTAATACTTAATTATAATTATCACTACATATCTGTAAAAGGATAGTAACATTAACATAATCTAAGTACCAACACATATTGAAGTACGTGGTTATTAAACATTGTTGGGAGAAGCATCCTTATCGAAAACCTTTTGTATTATCTCTTCTACAAAGCATCTCTGCTTGTTCTTATGTTCACAGCTAAGTCATGGTCAATAACATCTCAATAAAATGAAAGTTGTTAGTACAATTACCCAGCAATATTTGATTGTGTTTAAAAACAGAAGGGTACACTCTGAAATATGGAATTATTAATTAAATTTTCAACAAAATCATCTCTTTTTTCTCGAATGGTTTCTCAAATGTTAGGGGTATAATTTTAGTAATAAAAAAACGAATTTTTAAAAAATTATGCCTCTAGGGTGTGTCTACCTTCTACTGTCTAAAAAATAATATATTTAAATCATTAAACTGGTTTGTTCAGCCATTCACCTTTAGAGTTAAGGTTATTTTTTTATGACCACATATTAATTAGACAGTATCATAAACAAATCCATGAACATGTAAGCAACGACGTCGTGTTATTTCCACCCAAGGAATCTACCCTTAACCTTGAAGTACGGCCCATTTGCTTCTGAACAGCCTGTATACATCAATATACACATGGAATATATGAATATATATCTCCAGAAAACATGCCACTAGGTGTGCCCACGTTTTTATCTCTGTCGTTACCTTTATTTTTAAATTATACCTAGACTTCCTGCCTCTAACGACCCAAGTGTGACCGCAAAAGTAACTAGGTAGTTACTTGTTACTTAAGCATGCAGTTGATACGGCCCAGCCATGTTTACGTTTCTTAATTAACGTCATTATATGGGTTCCATTGTTCAATTATTGTTTAATTACAATGCACCATTATATATCAGTGTATTGTTTAGATCTGTCTGCATGTTTGGCACCCAGACCATATGGGGTCTATAAAATCTTTTAAAGAAACGTCACGTAGTTTGTTCTGCTTTCGTTGCTTCGGGCTAAGGCCAATTTAAAAGCACGTCCAGTGTACGATTTCTCGCCTCAAATGAGCCCGTTTATCTCTTTTCAACTGCACCGGTATTCGAAGGTGAACAAAGACGGAGTTCAGGTGGCGTACACAAATAAAGATAACCAAAACACTCCCAAGTAATCGACATTCCACTGAATGAGTAGAGATTTCATAATTTTCAAGCGTAAATACCTATTAGATTACACATAATTGTTTACAGTTTGATGGGCTTGTGATATTTCAATGGAAGTCGAGGAATTTTTTCATTTTACATTAGTTGGTGTTGATATACTGGGCGCGACAAGATCAGAAGATACTAACGCGGATGCAGTTCCACAAGCCAAACATTAGTAATAAAAGTATTTTCTAATGCATGTTCTTGTAGTAGGTGTAGAAACTTCTTAGAGCTTGTGTAGATCTCCTTAAACATAGGAAGCTTCTACGAATTTGCTGTATTCTTTGGGATCTTCATCGTAGAATTTTAGAATGTCTGGGTGGATGAAGTAGGTACTAGAATTATAATTCTAGACCGGAAGTAATGTGGTCACAAAAAATTGTAAAAATTTTTAATAACCTTTCGAATTGTAAAAATATGTTATTTATGAATCAAAATGTTTTATAAATTAAGGTGCAAAGGCTTTATACAAGGCAAGTAGTAATAAATTAGGAGCGTTTTAGAAGTAATGTCCAGGTTTTGTTTCTAATTACTGAACGGTATTAGAGCTGACGTTCGATCCCAGTGCTTCATGATCCGCAGAAGTCTTGTAGTCTTGACCCATCTTTGGATTGTACTCGCCTGGAATGAATGGTGGACTTATAGCCTGATGTTATATCTCTTTGCACCCCGATGCACCCTTTTCAAAACTGAAAGGGGTGCATTTAAAAATTAAAAAATTTTAATTTATTGTAGCTCGAAAACGAAGCAAAATTTCGCTATAGTTCATAGGAAAAATTATTTAGAGAATTGAATTTCCCATCGAAATAGCTTATTTAAAAAATTTAAAAATAAATCGTTAATAAACAATTTGAAAAAAGCAAAAAAAATTTTTTTAATTTATTTTTTTTTGCCGCTACTTTTTTTTGAGTAAAGATAGGTATAGGTATTGCTTCATAAAAAAAGTAGATCAAATTTTCTTCAAAAAAAGAGGTTGTACAAAATTTTTGGATGAGAATTGACTGGTATATGGCCGCTCAAACTTGGCCAATTTTTCGATTTTCGTCGCGTTTACCCTTATACGTTTTAATTCTCATTTTTTGCAAAAAAGGAAGAATTCGTTCAAGGACTTTCATCAGAATACTTGTTCGAATGGCCATTAAAAATGAAACAACCGCGGTGTGTTATTGCAGATTTTTAAATATAACACGAAAACGAAGCAAAATTTCGGTATAGTTCATAGGAAAAATTTTGTAACGAACTGAATTTCCCATCGAATTGGCTTATTTAAAAAATTTAAAAGAAAAATTTTATGCAAAGAATCGTTAATAAACAATTTAAAAAAAAAGTAAATATTTTAAATATTTTTTGGATTTTCGTCGTTTTTAACATAAATTAGAGTCAAAAAAGTAAAAAAAAAAAACAAAATTTAGATTAGTAGTAAAGTAGTAAGTAAAATAGCCAAAAAAACAAAACATGTTTTACCGAAAATTACGACAGGTACACTATTTTATAAAATTTCAGTTACAAATTTTAGTTTGTTACACTTTCTTCCTCTTGTTTTATTTCATTTAAACTGGTATAAAATGAAAGTGAATGTGTTTCGCATATTTTACTGTAAGTTAATTAGTTCAAAACAGAAATGGGTAAAAGACATAAGGCTATATGTAAGAAAAGTAAAACAGCTCAGTAAATATATACATTTCACTTTTTTCCGGTCCGGAAGCCGGCAGCTAAGTTCTATTCTATTTTTAGACATTCTTTACATTCACTACGTTCCCAGAAAGCCCTCCAGTCACTGCGAAATAGAAACCTTTATTAAAATCAGTTGTGTGTGTAAAATTATTTTAAGATCAAAATCCACCAGGAATTTTCCATTAAATTGTGTCCATTTTTAAAAAAGCACCTTGTATAGCCTTAATACTGAAAAATAGATACTAAATATCAACTGTGTGGTATCAACAGAAAGGCAATTTAAAGGGTTTTCAGACTAATAGCATAATTTACGCGCTGTTGTGTTTAAATCTTATGTTTATGCTATATGTTTGAAAACACTGTCTACAAAATGTGCAGATACCAATTATACAAGATTCTGAAAAGCCTAAGATAATCAGATAACAAATATGCCACCGCACATTCAAAAATT